CTAAATAATGGATTAGGGTGACGACAGAGGCAGACGTTATGAAGTAGAAAGTAAGAATTTTAAGCAATACATGCTTACTCCGTAAGTTAATTCTAATTTTGCGAAAAATTTAATTACGTGAATAAGAAGAAGTCTATCGTAAATATTAAAGCCTTTATCCCATTGAAGGACAAAGATCAACTCGGGGTAACACAACTGTGGGGGTTTGTTCAGGCCATAAATCCTATCACGCGCAAATGTCATCAAGTTAAAAAAAAATGTGGTGGATTAATAAAATAATTGATACCTACTTTGTTTTAACGAATCGAACGTGACCTTCAAAAAGGTAATAAAATAAAATGTATAAGACCTTCATATAAATCTTGAACTACAATAAAACTTTTCTGTTTTCTCTTTCTATCTTTGAGAGAGTCGTTACCTAATAACTCTCCATAACCCAAGGGCTCATGGTTACTGTCAAAGCTTTTACATTCATTGTTTTACTTGTGTCATTAATTTTATTGTAGCGCGCGTCAAAAGGGAAAGGCGAGTACTTAATGGTGACATAATGTGAGACAATAAAGTGTATAAGTGCAAGTACATTTAATTACAATGGCTAAATGAGTGATGAATTAATTAAAGTTATTAATTAGATGCCTTTGATTTATTTTATCACTAGCTTTTGCCCGCGGCTTCACCCGTGTGAAATTTAGTTTGTCACAGATCGTCATAAATTATAGCCTAGGTATATTAATGTTAATCTGGGTTATAAACAATAATACTGTAAAGTTTCATCAAAATCCGTTCAGTGGTTTTTGCGTGAAAGTTTAACAAACATCCAGACATATACAAACTTTCGCATTTATAATATTAGTAGGATTGTAATAGTAGTAGATTACCTGTGTGTATTTATTTATGATAATTTTATGTAAATTTTAGCTGATCCATTTATATTTCGGTCATTTATTGATTACATAGCTGCTTTTAAAATTCAGCAGATGTCTTCGTATGTTTGTACACCATAACTATTTGTTTATGCTAAATTGCAGCTAAAAATGGCTTCATACAAAATTGATAAAACGCTTAAAGTAAATTTAAATTCTACTACATTGATTATTAAAATTTTCTGGCGTTAGAAGTCGCCTTGAATTCCCAACTTAGGCAATTCGATTTTGTTTTTTTAGGTATTAAAAAAAAATCTAGTCTCAATAAATTGTTCTGTTAAATTCCTTTGATTTTCTATTTGAGTACTGTTTCAGAAGTTTTATTTAACCAGTTGGTTTCCTGAGTCTCGAGCGATTTATCTTGTTTAGGTTTTCCGCTAAAAGTGAAAGGTGACGCCAAAAAACTTCAAGATTGTATATTTAGATACCGAGAACAATACACGCAAAAACTAGCCGATATGTCGATTGCAATCGATTAGGAAGCAAGTGTTAAACGTTTAGATCAGTCACTGATTAAGACCCCGTGGACTGCAGACTTTTTGTCGGCCGATAGATATTATTATTATTGGTTTTTGGGCCTTCATTTGCGCCAGCTCGACCAGGTTTGATCTATTGTAGCAGCCCTTGTGTTTAGAGTTCACTGCTTAGTCCCGTTGAGTCTATAAATTTCCAGATTCTTTGGAGCGTGATATCTGCTATCTCATCCGGGTGCATGATGTGTCGCCCGAGATGGATACTTCTTTTGTTCATAAGCGGGCCGCATGAGCAGAGAACATGCATGGCCGTTTCTTCTTCTGTATGGCAGAATCTGCACAGAGGTTCCTCGGTCATGTTCATGTTTGATTTGTGTTTGTTTAGTTTGCAGTGGCCGGTTAGTATTCTAGTCACTGCACAGGCTTTGTATCTTTTGAACTTTAGCAGTTCCTTTGTTGCTATAATCCTTGAATGAGTGCTTTTGACTGTTTTTTTCCCGATGTAGACTTCCACCACTCAATAGCCTCTTGTTTTCATAGGGCGCGGGCGGTTAGTAGCGTGGTGGCTCGTTGTTTGGTGATGCCACAGAATGGTTTGGTCGGCTTGTAATTTGTAAAGGAACTCCTTTACAAATTAGAACAGATTTATCGTCTATGAAAGTTTGCACATGCAATTTTCCGACTAAACTATCTGCCGACAAAAAATCTGTAATCTGCAGGGAATTCTCTAAACGCAAGCAATTAATACAAAGTTCGTGCGCGAATAGACTCGATCGAATTCTCTCCCTCCAGTCAACAGAAAAAAGTTAATTCAAATAAACCTACCTAACAAGATTTTCTGGAGCCTAATTCCAAATGTCAGTTTAATGTCACCATAATACCTAATTTAATATCATTAGATTCTGAATGACACGGCTCAGTTGGATCAACAGCTTAACGTGCCTGCATAAAAAGTAATGTAGGGACCTCTGATTTTGATATTAAGATTAAACTCAGCTTTTTTGTTTGATTTTTTTATGATTAAGCCCGTCATTGGTCATTGAGTCGACCAACTACAGGTTTGATTTTAAAATCCTGTGTTTTAAAATCGGGTTTTAAGTGATTGCTTAAATAAATATGGCTGAGAGCTGAGACAGTTTGACTTATGGCCAGTTCTTCACAAGCCAGGCACGAATGTCAAGGTCAAGTAGTAGCTCGTAGCTAAAATATCTTAATACGAGATGTTGTTACTTGCGACAATCGCGCGCTTTTGTCTCTCAAGCAACTGTAAATTTCAATTAATAAAAACATCAACGAAAAAGACAAAAGCGAAGTTAATGATCAATAATTAGGTAAAATTACATAAATGGATAAACAAGGGTTAAAAACTTTTTAAAACTATATGTATGTCAGAATAGTCCGAAATAGGGATGTTGAAGGTCAAAAACTATCGATATAAAAAATGTTTCATTTTGGTGAGTTCCCGTAGGTACTTTTCAGGCAAACGCAGTGAATCACTTTATCGGAGACTCAAAAATCACAACGAAACTAAACTACGGATCCTTTAGTCAACTGTTATAAAATTTTAGTTACAATAATTATTTTTATGTATGCGTGTTTGTCCTATTGGTTGTCTAAGAGAAAATAAAAATAAATAAAAATTATTTCGTAAAAATGTCATGTTTTTTTTTATTATCTTTATTTGTTTAGACTAATTAAATTAGTACTTGCAAATCGTCAAACGTGTTAGACAGGTAACCTGGATTTTTCAAGATGCATTATGTAGAACTAGCTTTCCGCCCGCGGCTTCGCCCGCGTGGAATTTTGTCTGTCACAGAAAAACTTTATCGCGCGCGTCCCTGTTTCAAAAACCGGGATAAAAACTATCCTATGTTCTTTCCCGGGACTCAAACTATCTCTATGCCAAATTTCATCAAAATCGGTTGCGAGGTTTAAGCGGGAAAGCGTAACAGACAGACAGACAGACAGACAGACAGACAGACAGACAGACAGACAGACAGACAGAGTTACTTTCGCATTTATAATATTAGTTGGAATAACTAATAAATATTTTAATTTAACTGAAATTGAACTGACAAAAACGTAGTAAATAAGTAACAATAACGCGTCGACTTCAGCACTTTCTCCTTACACAAATGAAACGTGCGTCGCTCAGAGACAATAAACAACGTGTCTAGTAGCAAACATTTAATTTTGCCACTTCTACCCATAACACTAAATTTCTTCAAAAAATTTTCTGATATAAAACTAATTTGTAGTTTTTTGCGGGGTACAGTAATTCTCTAACACGATCCCGGTGAAAAAAAGGATCCATTCAGGCAAAACTCTAACCATGGGATCATTAGTGTAAACCATTGGGAAGATAGGTAAGAAACATGTCCTAACGGATGGACGGATGGGATTTTTTCCAGTTTGGGTGTAACTTTTTGGGAACAAGCGGTGTCGTTTCGGATCCAGATTTTCCGTTTTGACTTAATGGCGATAATTTTTTGGAACTGTACCCTTACATAATGTTCTACTAAGTACAGTGGCACTTGTGAAGGTTGACCCAATTTTACCGAATATTAGGTAATATATTTTATGACGTCTTTACGCCATTAATATTTATATCACTGCAAATAAATATGGAGTTGAACAGAATGTTAAGTTTGCATAATACTATCTTAAATAATGTCGTCATCTGTAACAATTCGGTTCTTTTACTTCTACTGCTTAAATGTTTTTTTAAATCTTTGGGTGTCTACGGAAGACGAGCGTCGTGGTATCGCTGATAGGCTACGTAATTCGATAGGTTTCAGAAATATTTTAGTGTTGTTGTTAACTATTGTTTGCATTTTTTTAATTTTTAATGCGCAAAGGTGCAGAATTTAGTCTAAATTAATTTTTAATTTTTATAGTTTTCAAAATGTTGGTTAAAAGTCTAGCAACTTAAAACTCAGAGTATAGTTTGTGAATAATAGTATGGCCGACGTCAATGTCAGTTACTTATCAAATACAATAATATTGTGGCTTTGTACAAGTTACTAATTATTAAATCGATTAAATACCTATCTGCCTAAATTACTGAATCAATGAGATGAAACAATTGTAAGACATATTAAGATTTTTAGGTACGTTGAATATTAGTAGGTAGGTACCTACTACTTCTGGGAAATTACAAACATTTCACTCGAAACTAATTCATAACAGATTTGGGCGATTAATTTATAATAATGCATTGTTAATTGCTACAAGTACTAAAAGTTGGCACGTGCAATACTTATTCTTAATGACTGCTTAAAGAAAAGAGCTATTTTACATCTTCTCGAGATGTTTCCATAGTAACAAAAATAATGTTGTATTGAAACACATTTCGCAACGGTTGTTTAAGCACGTTTAAGTTATATCATTAAAAAAAGAAATAAAAAAGCAACAGGAAAACGTTGAAAAACTTAACAGATCGATATTCGCATTTTGACATCAAACAATAAAAATGCGCCGACCAAACGAGTTTGGATTCAACTCGTTTATGCCAGAACGTGGCTTAGACCAACTTTCCACCTCAAATTTCAACCTAAATTATTAAAAAACCTTTTTAAATATTCACAAATATTGGAACACATACCATTTGGAAAAATCCTATATTATCACTGTTTTCCTTTTTTTTGGCACCCATCTCGTAGGCTTTTCCTTTGTGGTTGATAAACCTCTTTGCTTGTCCCTTCATCACGATTTAATATTTAAAATAAACTTAAAAAAAGCACTGTCAATTGAGTCAATTCCCGCGCGCTTTTGACTCAAACAAGTAATTTGTAATGTCGCGTCTGCAACACGCGCGCGGCACGGGCGTCGGTGCGGTACTGCGCGGCCGCGGCGCGCGCCTCCTATAAAATACTTTATTTACAAATAACATGGCATCGGGAAACCCCTGCTATGCGTAAGCTTTCTCATTCACATTCAATTTGGCCGCTTAAAAGTTCGCAACAAAGGAGGTAGAAGAACAAATGTCTAAACAGTGTTAAAGCACAGTATACCTACATTGATTTATCTACTGTGGTTAAAGCATGACTTAGACAGACGCCGTAATTTTTTTTCTCTTTTCATTGTTCAATATGTGATTGCCATCAAATAAATGCTACAAAAGTTTTGTCAGATAATTTAGGAACAAACTTACAGAAGATGACAATTTTTATATCAATTTATCGATACTTTTAACATCACTACTCAATTTATTTTATATTTTTCGGAATATTTTAGGGGTTTCAAAAAATAAGTAAGGCAACTCGACATTGGGAGAAATAAATGCTAAAGACGATTTGGGATTAACAAAAACAAAACGAAAATGGAAACAGTCATGGAGTCGCCTCGAAGGGGGCGGGTAAAATGTTTACATCTAGACATCTACCCACACTGCACTTACTCCTGTACTTATAGACGTCAGTATTCTACGAATTCTTCTCGCCTTAACTGTGTCTTAACTTAGCCATAAACATAAGTTCATTAAACCACTTTACTGAACTATGCCGCTAGTTAATTCAATGCTGCAATGAAGTTGGTCAGTCTTGACGTCAAAGCATTTCGGCAAAAGCTGACGTTCCTTCATGCAAATTCGTTGAACTATGCGGAAAATGACGTCTTGGGTCACCAACTCGATCGAGCGCGGCGTTACGAAATCTGGTATGGCATCTTCGAGATACAACTTGTTTGAATTGTTAACGAGATAAAATTATGTTCCGATGAAACATCAGTGGTCCAGTGGATTGATTTATAAACAAGAAGAACAAGCTTGCAGTTTTAACTTTTTGCGAGCGAAGCCCGATAGGTGCCGAGATGCCGAGAGGTCGCGCTCGCGGGTTCGATTCCCGCACAGTACAAAGATTTGTGTGCATAACATAATTGTTTGTATTGGACAGGGTGTTTTCTATGTATTATTATGTATGTATTAAAAAAAAGTATTTAAGTTTGTTTCTTACATCCGTTAAAATCTAGTTCTAGTACCCATGCATGTACAAGCTTTGCTTAGTTTGGGACTAGAGGCGCAGTGTAAAATGTATCCCATCAAAAACAATACTTGTCAAAAAAACCAAGTCTCGCAACTCAGTTGTTCTACGGTAAAAAGTTGTGAGATCCATGTAATACCAAGTCCAGGCCAGGAAATCTTTAACGTTTTACTAGGGTTTCTGCTCGAGCTTTCTCGAACTCGAGAAAACTCGAGAAATTTGGCTTCATTCGAGACGAGAAAAAAATTACCGGAGCTCGAGAATTCCCGAGCTTCGAATTTGGAGCTTTAATATTCTTGAAAGCCTATTTCCTTAGACAAAAGTAAGTTTTTAATTATTAAATAGGTTAAAGTTGCTTTTAGACTGGTCTAGTCTTTCCTTTTTTACCCGACTGCGTGACGCAAAGGAGTGGTAATGTGTCTAACAGCCTATGTATGTATGTTTTTTGAAGCACAATAGAGACCAAACTCTTGGGTCGATTTTTATGATTCGCACGTCAATCGATTCCTCTTAGTCCGGCGAGTGTCACTAAAGACATGAGGCCCCGATTACGCTAAATATTTTCAACTACAACGCGACTAGACGACGAACGAAAATTCCAAATTCGTATCGCGGTGTCGCTTTGACAGCTAGTTCAAACGAAAACAAAACGCAACTGCTTCTTTGTTTAAAAGCTGAAAGAATGCTACTTTATCTCAAACTCTAGTCAAACGCCTTCACGAACATTTAATTTTGCTGTTTTTAGTGAAAAAATAAGGTGTTCGGACTTTTATTAGAAAGTGATTAAATCCGTTGATTCGTCTTTGTATGCGCGTGAACTTTACCGCGATACCGAATAATGCGTGAACTTTACCGAAATACCGGGCACTGGCCCATATTGTGAAACTCAACAAACTATGGCATGTGGGGTATCGTTAGATTTGTTTTAACTGTGAGAGTGACACTGAGTAAGGGTTGGTGACAAAATATGTATTCTATTCTGCCGTCACCACACGGCTTATTACCAATTAGGTACTTATCGCCAACAAAAAAAAAATAGTCATTGATGCCTCCGACTGCATTTTTGAACACATTGTCTTGTTCCAATCTTTTCAGTTCATTATTACGTAGTTGGGTTTTAGTTTTTTTGTATATTAGATTTAAAAAAACCTGTATTTTTATCAAATTTCAACCGATTTTAACAGTTTTAATAAAAAGCTCGAGACCCGAGAAAACTCGAGACTTTGGCCTCGAGAATTCCCGAAACTCGAGAAAAAAAATAGGTCGAGAAATCAGAAACCCTACGTTTTACATAAATATATTGACTTGGCCATCGCACTAAATAATTTAATTTACACGTGTTTTCATGCGATGGCCAAGTCAATAAATTTATGTAAAACGTTAAAGATTTCCTGGCCTGGACTTGGTATTAGGTACATGGATCTCACAACTTTTTACCGTAGAACAACTGAGTTGCGAGACTTGGTTTTTTTGACAAGTATTGTTTTTGATGGGATCTCATTTCTTTTTGTATTTTGTAGACAGCANATTCCTTTGATTTTCTATTTGAGTACTGTTTCAGAAGTTTTATTTAACCAGTTGGTTTCCTGAGTCTCGAGCGATTTATCTTGTTTAGGTTTTCCGCTAGAAGTGAAAGGTGACACGCGAAAAAACTTCAAGATTGTATATTTAGATACCGAGAACAATACACGCAAAAACTAGCCGATATGTAGATTGCAATCGATTAGGAAGCAAAGTGTTAAACGTTTAGATCAGTCACTGATTAAGACCCCGTGGACTGCAGACTTTTTGTCGGCCGATAGTTATTACTATTATTGGTTTTTGGGCCTTCATTTGCGCCAGCTCGACCAGATTTGATCTATTGTAGCAGCCCTTGTGTTTAGAGTTCACTGCTTAGTCCCGTTGAGTCTATTTTCCAGATTCTTTGGAGCGTGATATCTGCTATCTCATCCGGGTGCATGATGTGTCGCCCGAGATGGATACTTCTTTTGCTCATAAGCGGGCCGCATGGGCAGAGAATAAGCATGGCCGTTTCTTCTTCTGTATGGCAGAATCTGCACAGAGTTTCCTCGGTCATGTTCATGTTTGATTTGTGTTTGTTTAGTTTGCAGTGGCCGGTTAGTATTCTAGTCACTGCACAGGCTTTGTATCTTTTGAACTTTAGCAGTTCCTTTGTTGCTATATCCTTGAATGAGTGCTTTTGAGTGTTTTTGTCCCGATGTAGACTTCCACCACTCAATAGCCTCTTGTTTGCAGAGGGCGCGGGTGGTTAGTAGCGTGGTGGCTCGTTGTTTGGTGATGCCACAGAACGGTTTGGTCGGCTTGTAATTTGTAAAGGAACTCCTTTACAAATTAGAATAGATTTGTCGTCTATGAAAGTTTGCACATGCAATTTGCCGAATAAACTATTGGCCGACAAAGTCTAGTTTGCAGGGACTCGAAACGTAAGCAATTAATACAAAGTTGGTGCGCAAAAACTCAATAGAATTCTCTCTCCAGTCAACAGAAAAAAGTTAATTCAAATAAACCTACCTAACAAGATTTTCTGGAGCCTAATTCCGAGTTCCAAGTGTCAGTTTAATGTCACCATAATACCTAATTTAATATCATTAGATTCTGAATGACACGGCTCAGTTGGATCTAGGGCTTGAATACCGGAATTCCGGAATTTCANACTGTCGTGTGAAAATACACAGTACGGCCGCATGTGCCGGTCGTAACATAGTGCCGTGCTCGTGTTCTAATGCGGTTTCCTATTATCGATAAATAGAAGTAAATTATAATTTTCTATTTTGTAATTTTAAATAAAAAAATTATGTGTTACTTGCGATTATAAGATTTTACAAAAAAAAATAATAACAGTAGAAGTAATTAGTAACTGTCAACTATGTAATTACTATAAGAGCTAGTTGAAAGCCTAATATAGGCATTATTTTCGATAAACATATCGTCACCGTCGTGGCAGAATTAAATAACTGACAAAACCAAAGTTGCGAGATATTCACGTTTTTGTGTTTTTTTTCGTTAAAAATGGCGATAACTTTTAAGTGTAAAAATATTTTACTGTCGGTCTTTTGATATTTTATACAGCAAATTTACCTTCATTAATTCAATATTCTTCGATGATGTTACTTTGTATTATTTTAAATAAAAAAAATAAAAATGTAATTATTTAGTTTTGCCACAACCATATTTTACAACTAAGTTGCAGTTATTTAGTTTTTGTATGTCACTTATTTAGTTTTGCCATAACCAAGGTATTACAAAAACGAATATTTCCATTGAATAAGTACACTTGTTTAATTTTGCCACACTTTTATTGACTTAAATGTTGATTTATTCATTTTATTTTATTTGTTTTGTTAATGCAATTTTAGTCAAAATCTGCAAAATTGTTAAATAATACTAGAATTTACCTACTTATTTAATACCTTTAAATGTTTAATAAATTGGTATGGTAACCATTAACATCAGATTCCTATAACATTGAAATTAAATTGAAAGAACCAACATCAAAATGAATATCAAAATTAAAATAATCCAAAAACAATAAAACTGTATTATGGATCTCTCCATAGGGATCCCTTACCCTCAACGTCATGGCAGAACGACGTTCAATGTCACTGCAGATCTCCGTTGACGCTAAGGCACATCGGCAGCTCAATAGACAGATATGGAAGTCCTTGCGACATGATGTTCGCAACTTTAATACAAATAGTATTAAAGAGGAGATAGAGCGGAACCAAGGCTCGAAAGTGTTCGCAAGAGACAACTCTATTAGGCGAAGCTAGCTCACGAAGCTGAAGACTGCGGAAGGTGGTGTAACTTTAACAAAAGCCAAGGTTCTGGGTGAGATTGAAAAGTTTTATGGAC